ATATTAGATTTATTATTTAAATTATATAGCTTTTCTTTATTTATTATTTCCTTTTTGTTTATTTTTCTATTTTTTTCTTTTATATATATTTTGTTTTTTTTTATTTTTTTGGTAGATATAGATAGTTATACTATTAAGATTTAGATAAAAAAAGTTTTAAAGAAAAGCTTAGACTTTCTGATAAAGCTTTTATAGTAGTTTTGTATGGTTTTTACAAACTAGTATAGCAGGTTGCATGTAATAATATCTTAAAACATGTTGAATAATATCAAACTTATAGATTAAGATCTTATATTGTAATTTTAGTTATAATTAAGCTTAATAAAGTTCTTGGCAAAACTGTTTAAGCTTAAAAAAAAAAAAATTAATATACTACAACATAGCCAAAAATTTTAAATACTGTATTTTGCATCTAGAAAAAATTAAACTCTGGCTTGCTACCTAAAAATCCAACTTATTTTTATATTTGATAAATAAGTCTAATAGCTTAACTACTATGCTATGTTATTGATCTTCCAATTTTATTATAGCTTAAAATTTGAAATTGTTTAATTTATTAATAATTTAAATAAATATATCTTGACAAATTATCTTGATTTTATATATAAACTTGTAAAAACAATTTATCAAATTTTGTTAAGTGGTTGCCAAGATATCTTGGTTTAGAGGTTGGAACCGGTTTTAATAATTCCGTGAATTTTGTGATATTTTAGAATTTAATCCAATTAAATTCTAAAATATCACAAAATTCAAGTGATAAACTCGAATTATTAAAACCGGTTCCAACCTCTAGTTTAAAGTTGTAAAATATTAATAAAAATTTATGAAGTGATTTACATTATGTGCGGTTAATTCTTGATTGTTGGTAGTTACGGGAGCACGTGATGCACGGGATCGAATTTTATTGGACGATCGAGGGTCGCCAAAAAAAAATAACTCTTAAAAAAATACACAGTATATACATACTTAAAAAATATATTCAAAAAAAAACTGCATTGCATTGAAACACATATAGCTCTTATGCATCTTGAACTAAAAAAAATTTAATAAGGATAGCACACAAAACTAACTGTATTTATAACAAAAAAAAAAAGTGTAGAGTTCGAATATAAATCATTTGACTTAAGGCACAGTTACAATATCCAAATAAATACCAAATTCCAAATAAATACCAAATTTGGAATAAATGGTAAAATCGTGCCTTAATCTGATATCCAAAATAAAGTCTCATAAAGAATTTCTTATTATCAGTTTGGTCACTATGAACTTAAGACAAAAGGATAAACTAATATACATATACTGAAACTTAATGCATATAAGCAACGTTACTAGAGTTATTCATTTAAATGGCCGCGGAAGAAAGTAAATGCTACCATCAATAGCGAAAAAAAAATGTAATACCAAAATCAAGAAACTATAAACTTTCAAAATCATCTATTAAGATAAAAAAAAAAAAACACATGTTACGATCTGAATAGAGAAACCTGAGTACATTAATCCATTATTATTAAAAAAGGATTAAACAATACAAATTGATTGGTAATAGGATAAAATTACCAATTGATAAAAAGATAAAGGTAAAAGAGTGTGTAACATCGAACAAAACGATGGGTAAGCCTGGTAATTGCACCGATATAAGTCAAAAAAAAATAAAAAAGACTAATAATATACCTCTGCAACCTCATGCTTATTTTCACAATTCAATTTCACAACAAAGAATACAATTAAAATTCATCACAAATAGTGAGTCATATTGATATAGACAAATAAAATAACTTATCACACCTTGCTTTATATTGAAAGATGAGAATAATAATCTAATTACAACAACCACTAGTAAATCTAGATTTGTTTTCTATACTAATTTTGCCGTCATTTGGAACTTTTGGTTGCTCAGGTGTATGTGTATCAATCAATCTCTTCTTAATGTCCCTGTAGTTTAATTATACAATTTGAGAGATAAGTGTTAATATGAAGTAACATACAATAACTCGTGTTAGTAAACATGGTAAACATAAATATTAACCTGGCCAAAGTAAAGAATGCCTCTTCCACGTTAATGTTAGCTTTGGCACTAGTTTCTAAAAACTTGATTTTAAATTCGTCGGCGAGTGCCTGACCTTGTTCCTTAGTAATTGCCTAAAAGATTGTAATATATATAAAATTCAGATAATTTCTCAGGAGAATTTAAGAATCATAAAAAAAATTTTTTACCTTTTTCTCAACCCAGTCACATTTATTTCCAATGAGAATTTTATTAACGCCTTCGCTAGCATGCTGTTCTATGTTGGAAAACCAATTTCTTATATCTGATTAATCGTAAGAAAATTTGTTATGAATAAATAGATAAATATAATTATGCAATTCTATTACAATCGTTGGGATTTTAAAAAAAAACAAAATTTTAAAGAAAAAAAGAATACTTACTA